AGCTTTCCAACTTGGGGACAGCTACAACTAGTGGCAGGCACATGATGCGTCCCTTAGCTCCGATCAAGGGAGAGATTATTGACATCGATTCAGATTTTATTCCAAAGAGGAAACATATACCTAATGAGGTGCACATGGATCAGAAGATGTTTACATGTGAGTTTCCTCAATGCCCCCATAGTGATTATCGTATGGGATTTAATGACCGGACATGGAGAAACAATCACCAAATGAATTGCCCATACCGTTTCAGTTCTTCTGAAAGGCTTAAGAAACCAAGATATCAAATTAACAATGACAAGCCAGCGGTTTTCTCTGTCCCTTCTGCCCAAAACGAGGCATTTTTTCTGCCCTTGAACGATGCTCCGGCAAGTGTGGATGTTTCTGACCTTGGAATTCCCAAAGATGGCCAAAAGATGATTTCTGAGCTTCTTTCATCCTATGATGACAATCTTCTGCAAAACAGTAGCTTCAACTCAGGGAATCTCAACATTCTAGAAACTCAAAACTCGCTGCAGCAAACGACACAACTTCAACAAGATGATTACTACAACAGACAGGGAGTTGTGTCAGGGGGCGGCATTTTTCAAGATACAAGTATGGCATCTAGTAATTCTGTGTTCCCATCAACAAATTTCCAGTTCAATCAGTGCAAGCCCTCATACAATTCCACATCCAATGGCAACACAAACGAGAATATGTCTGACTTCAGGTTTGATTCACCTTTCAACTTGACACCAATCGACTACTCCATGGACCCACAACCTTGTCAGGATGTATCCTTGTGGAACCTCTGAATTCGGGATGATTTTCACCGGAATGTTTGCGCCACTAGTAATTAGGTTAAGCTTTATCCTTGAACCGCCCTGTAGATATTGAACTGTACTGTATCTGAATGCTTACCATATTTCTGAACTTGTCTGTGCTTTGGTCTTGTAATGCTTTTGAAATAGTAAGATATTGTTGCATGAATTGCCGTAGTTGCAACTTTTTGTTGTCTTTTTCTGCACGAATTGGGAAATGATATTTTACATATTTGAGTTTAATGCCTGGGTAGTAATTGATTTATTCTTTTTCTTCTGTAAGTGAATGAACTCATAAAGGTGTTTTCGTTTATCCCCTTATTAAGGTTGATTTTTTCATCTTTGGTTTGAGAAATGGTACCCATTAGTTTCCATTGTTTAGTAGTATAGTACTAGAGTCTGTTCTGATGTAGCTATTTTGATATTTAAGTTCCTTTTAGCCCTCTCTTTTTTCTTGAGCACATGTTGGCCTTCTAGTATTAAGTAGCTTGATATCGCTTTAAGGTTTTGTCCTTCCAAGTATGGAAGCGAGCGTATAGACTTGTGGAAGACATGTTCAAAATAAATGAGTGCATAACCAGTGACCTATCATTTCCAAAGACATTGTTGAGAAAAATTATGGCTAAGGGCGTCTGACAAAACGTAGAGCACTTTATTCAAATCCAAATTGTCATTTATTACACGTCTTTCTTCATTTTCAGAGCAAAAAGTGGAGTGCCGATTGTTTTATAGTGAACCCTTCATTATAAATCTCCTGTATAGTAATATATAATTTCACAAAAATGAGTAGCATCGTGTCAATGTTTATTTTATACTGAACATAAATATGTTGAAATATATAAGCACTTGTTTGATTCCCATTAAATTACGTTACATTACATTTTATTTTTCTCTCTCCTACTTTTAACCACACAATCTTCCATAAAATAATATTACACGTAAATCAAAAAAATTTCCTTCTTTTTCAACCACTCATTTTTTCAATAAAATACTATTCCCCCCATTTTCATTACCAAAAATGGGGGCCAAACGGGGCTAAATCATATCCTCTCATTACGATGGTGCTAGTTAAATTCCAATAAATTGAGGGTTGACCAACTTTTGGAAAACACAATAATTTTTACATTTTGTTTTTATGTTTAGGTGAAAAAGACCACTATGCTTTGTGGCGGCGTGTTTAGGGGAAAAGGTTGGAATATTATAAAACTACAAACGAAAATATTTTTAGTTTTCATTTATTTCTCAAGTGTGTTTCAACTTTCGAGTCTCAAGAAGCTACTTCTCACGGATGGAATTTGTAATGATAAAACCCTTAGGGTCCGTTTGATTGTAAAGATGAAATTGAATTGAATTAAAAACGAATTTTAAATAATTGAATTGTCTAGAAATTGTTTTCTTGAGAATTGTAAACTATTGTGTTTGATTGTTATAATTTTTCATGTGGAAAATGTTGAAATAAAAAGTGTTTTTTGGTGTTCTTTTGACTTTATTTTATATGAAAATTGTCAAGTAAAGGGATATAATTTATTGGTATTGGAGATGAAATTTATTTCCATTGCCAAAACAAAAAAAAAAATCAAGAAAAACATCTATCTTTTGGCGTTCTTTTGGCTTTGTTTTACATAAAAATTTTCAATTAAAGGGAAATATTTTTTTACAATAATTCTTAGAATTTACCAATTCCCAATACAAGCAAGAAAATACAATTTTATAGAAAATAAAATATATCAAACACATAAAATTGAAAAAAAAAAGTGAAATTCATGAAATTCAACCAACCAAACAGGCCCTAATTTCAATGTGTAAGTATTTGATATTTCTGCACATTAATGACAGGAGAAAAGATATCCGAACATAAAGCATGTTTCATGTTTGGTTCGTCGAGAAAAAAAATTTTGATTAAAATTTAAGTTATAATTAACAACAAATTTTAACTACACCCAAGACTTTTAAATCAAACATTTTATCTGCTTTTATCAAAATCTAAATCTATTGGAACTAGTAAATTGTCATGATGGTCCAAAGAATGGTTATCGAATTTACATAGTAAATTCACAAATTGAACAGTTTTTCACTTGAATCAAATGGATAGACGACTCCTTTCCTCTTACTCATACAAAAAAATAAAAAATAAAAATAATAATAATAATAATAATTTTATGAATATCCTTAAAAGTCATGACTTGTGAACAAAAAAATTGTCAAGTAACTCGCACCAAGAATACCCAAAAATTGTTCATTGAAGTCAAATAGGTACCTAACCCCCTTTCTCTCCACGCTAAAGAAAGCAAGATGCAATTTTTTGAATATCCTGAAAGACGATGTTCCATGGGAAAAAAATTGTCACCCAACTCACACCATCAATACCCAAAGACTGTTGTATTGGAATCAAATAGGTAGGTGATTCCCTTCGTCATCTTTGTACCAAGGAAAGAAATGCAATTTCATGAATGTCATTAAAGCCATAACTCACTGACAAAACACTGCCAAGTGACACATTAGAAATTTAGAATATTCAGAATTTGTTCATTGGAGTCCAATATGTAGACTAGTCTCTTCCCCTTCTTCATAAAAAAGAAAGAAAACACAAAATGTTGTCACAAGACTCACAACATGAATAATTAAAAGTTGTTAATTGGAGTCAAATAGATAGCGGCTCCTTTCCTCTTCTTCATAATAAAGAAAGAAAAAATGCAATTCATGAATATCCTTAAAGCCATGACCCATGACAAAAACATTATCACATGACTAACTTTACAAATCCCACAAGTTGTTCATTGGCGTCAAATAGATACGTGACTCCCTTCATTTTCTTCATACTAAAGGGAAAAAAATGTAATTTTGTAAATATCCTTAAAGCAACATCCCACAAGCAAAACATTTTCACATGACACACACCCCTCATACTCAAAGGTAGTTAATTGAAATCAAATAGGTAGGTGATTCCATTGCTCCTCTTCAAACTATAGAAAGAAAAAAAAAGCGTTATTTCGTGAAACCAAAAGTTGTTCATTAAAATCAAATAGGTAGATGATTCCTTCCTCTTCTTCATACTAAAGAAAGAAAAATGCAATTTCATGAACATCTTTAAAGCGAGCCTTGACCTACAGGCAAAACATTGTCACATGACTTCGCACCATGGATAATTAAAAGTTGTTAATTGGAGACAAATAGGTATGCGGCTCCCATCCTCTTCTTTATCCCTACTATATAAAAAGGGGAATGTGAGGGCACTGTAGAAAGCAACAGTGTCTTGATCCATCTTTACTATAGCATTTTTGTTTTGTTTTTTGTTTTTTTTCAATTGAGGGCCAAAAACTACTCCGTTTGCTTGATATATATTTTATTTTATTATACACTACCTCCAAATTTACTGCAACACGCAATTTCCATTCCTCCTCCACTCCGATATAGATATATATAGTAGAGATATAAGAAAAAATTAGTTTTATAAAAAAAAAAAAAAAAAAGATAGAGATAATATGCGACAGAAATTTTTTTACAACATATTACTTATAAGTAAAAAATTTGAGGAGAATAGAATTAAAGAGAATTTTAAATTGAAAAAAAATTATAACATAAAACTACACAGCAAAAAAAATGTATATATATATATATGTCTCCGTGCACGGAGGAAAGGAAAAAAAAACATAGGAAGGACTCCGTGCACGGAGGCTCAAAAGAGAGAGAATTTTTTTTTTTTTTTACTTATGTTTTTGTGTTCATTTTCAGGCTCATTATGGGATATCAAACAAAGTCGAAATATTACATTCTTAATATCGTTTTGAAGTAATTACGACATAGTATTGCACGTCGTTAACGGTGCGTGAAACGATCAATCATAGCAAATGTTATGGGACGTCAAAATAGGCATTTGCAAACTATATTTCGAAATTTTCGATAACAAGCTAACTTTAAAAATTCATCGACGATTGTACGATAGTCAAATCGATAAATATTTTACATTCTTTCGAAACTCATTTTGAAAACTATATCGTAGAGACATCGAATGATCTAAATAGATATCAAAAATAGTTAAACAAACATTAAACGTATGTGTTAAAAAATACACATAAGTCATTTTTCTTAAAAAAATCAATTATTTTATTACTATTTCGAAACTTTCGATAGCAAACTTACTTTAAAAATTCGTCAACGATTGTACGATAGTCAAATCGATAAATATTTTACATTCTCTCGAAACTCATTTTGAGAACTATATCATAGAGATATCAAATTATCTAAATAAATATCAAAAATAGTTAAATGGAGATTAAACGTATGTGTTAAAAATGAATATACGTCGTTTTTTCTTTAAAAAATCAATTATTTTATTACCATTTATTCTTTTTTCACTACCGCAATCGCGAGAGTTAAGAAAAGCCCCTTCGATTTCTTTGGGAACTCTTCGCAGTCTCCCTGTGGGATAAGGCTTCTTTGCTTGGTGCTGATGGTAACAGCCCCAGCCCGAGCCCGAGTAAGAACTCTAGACGTTGGCCTCAGCCAACAATTTTCTCTATGCATCATTTTGCTCAAAAAAAATTATGTGGTATGACGAAATTTTTTTTCTCCATGCACGGAGTGAATATGTTTTTTTTTTCATCATTTTATACATTGAATTATTACTAGAAAATTAAATTTTATCTCAAACTATTAAAAAATACTGATTAATAATAAAAAATTTGAAGAAAAAAATTAAAAAGAATTCTAAATTAAAAAAAATAATTATTTATAACGTAAAACTACACAGAAAAAAATTCTCAAATCTAAGTTTCTGTTTGGAATTATTAAGAGAAAAGAATTATAAATTGAAAAAAAAATTATAAGGTGAACAACAAAAATAAAATTCTTTTTAATTCTTTTTTTTTTCAAATTTTTTACTTAAAAGTAACTTTTTGTAAAATATTTTTTTATTTTTTTATATAATAGTAATTTTTTTCTTATATCCCTACTATATATATCTATATAACTATGGTTGAGCATGGAGTGGTGGGGGTATGAAAATTATGTGTTGCAGCAGTTTCTTACAGTATAATAAAATTTTTTAAAGTAAAATTTTTTTATATATTTTATTACTATAAAATTAAATATTATTTGAAATTATTAAAAAATAAAAATACTAATAATATAAGATAGAAAATATTTCTAAGAGGTAAAAAGATTAATTGTGAGTAAAAAAATGAAAAAAAAAAGAAATTAAAAAAGAATTTTAAGTTGAAAAGAAAAAGTATTTATAATGCAAATCAA